CAGGACGAAACACAAGTTTTACAACAAAATAAAAATACTTCGAAACAAGTCCCAACTCGAAAGCGGAAACGGCAAACCAAAGAAGATGAATTCCTACATTATCTAAAAGAAAGGGATACCCAAAGACAAACGATTTTTAAAAATTTGAGCAATAAAGAAAATAATGATAATAATGGAGATGAAAATGGCATCAATTCCTTTGGAGAACATATTAAAGCTGTACTCAAAAAGTTACCCCCAATTTTAATGATTAAAGCTAAAACAGAAATATTTAACACTATGAGTAAGTATGAACTTATGTCAATGACTCCTTCTGACGCAATCCGTCCACAAAGTTCAGTATCTGACTTCAGTTATTCAATATCTTCCCCAATAGAGGCATCAATTTCAACACCATCGACAAACGAACATACCTACACAGATATCTCAATGTGGCACATGAATTGAAATATTCACTAAATGTATAATTTTTTATGTTATTTATTTTGACTTACCTTAAAGTAATAAAGAGTTTTTCTTCAGTTGTAATTTTCGTTCTCAATTTTTTTGGCTGCATGTCTTTTTCAATTAAACTTAAAACAAAATAAAATTGAGTTTTATTCAGTCTGCAATATTTTCTAAATAAATATTCATCGCCTTGTAGGTGCTGTAAAATTAACAGTTTAAAATAGCCTTCTGTTTTTCTTTTTTTAAATAAGGAGTGTATTGGAGCTCTTTTGCTTTTCTTGTATAAATAGTACAATATTAAATCCTGATCTTCCTCTTCCTCTAATAAAATTTGTTTAATAATTTTATTCTCGGCAGACATTCTAGATGCACCTTTCTCAACAGTAAAATAAGTACTGATCTGTCATTCTGTCGCATGCTACGAACGAGTCCTCCAAGTGTCTCCTGCTCTGTCTCGGTCGCTTGCCTCTTGCCTCGGCCGCCTTGCAGCTGCAGCCTGTCGCTGCAGCAACTATCGAACGAGTACCTTACCAGTGGGTTCTGACGTGTTATGATATGGCAAAATTATGGCAACCCTGTAGGCCTGGTGATTTGACAAGGTCAATGAAATAGATAGTTACATAGATTGATCATCCATATTTTTCAAAATAAACATAAGCTTATGCCTTGAAGTAAAAATATAAGCAATTATTTTTTTTTTAAATATCTAAAGGCTAAAAATTGGTTTTAAAACACATTTTTGCTAAACCGATTCAAATTAATAAATATTTGCCAGGCAATATGGCCGCTCGTAAACGACCAGCTCTGAGCAATCAATATAACTATATAGGGTAAATGCGCCTAATCCCAGCCTTCTCCAGTTGTCAGCCACCTTAACACAAAATAACGAATAATAAGAAAATAGGGCGCCCTTCGGTTCAAAAATGCATGCTCCCATTGTCAGCCTTTTCCCGCCATTTGGCACCCCGCTACTTAATTCTTAACCTCAAAATATTTACTACACGGTCGAATCGCGTGTGCCAGTTACAAGGTGCTGAGAATCGGTAAGTAAAACCTGTATTTTTGCTTAGTTTCACTCTCTAAAGAAATAGCACATAATACTCGTTGCAAGCAAGGTTTTAAGAAAAAATAACTCTATTTATCATCAATGATTAGTTAGTTATGTGTATTGCAAATAAATTTTAGATTATAGTTCACCGAATATAAAATTGGGCTGAGTATTGGCTTACCATTTTCTGCAGAATCCAATTGTCAGCCTGGGCGGCTGAGTAAAGGAATTAACAATTATTTTTCGATTTTGACCTTTATGTACGCTAGACATAAAGAGAACATTTCTAGTCGGTATTATATTCCTATTTCCCCTGTTGCACAAAGTTATCCAATGGTCAGCCGTCCCTAACTGTTATCGGTGCAAGAGGGCTGACTTGGAGAACACATAATCCTTTACTCAGCCGCCGTTAAAAATGACACCTCATGAGAGGTTTTTTTTTAGGTAGATGGTAGACTGTTATCATGGGTCGTTATAAATCGCATGAGATAAACAAATATCCTGCGGAAGCATTGGCTAATGCTTTAAAAGCGATTCGACAAGAAAATTTGAGTATAAGGGCCGCTAGAAGAGAATATAGGGTACCTCGCGGCATACTGCAAGACAGAATACACGGGCGAGTCTCGGAAGGACCACGAAAATTAGGTCCTGGTACCATACTCACTAGAAATGAAGAAAATGCTCTAGAGCAGTGGCTTATTTCACTCGTAAAATGTGGATTTCCCCAAAAAAAGGAAGATCTGTTGAGCGCAGTGGAACAAATAATTAAAAAAGAAAATAGAAAACCCCATTTAAAGACCAAAGACCTGGCCAGAAATGGTATGCTGCATTTTTAAAGAGACATCTAAACTTGTCATTAAGAGAAGCAGAGGGAGTCTCCAAAGGAAGAGGTATTGTAACAGAAGAACTGATCAGAAAATGGTTTACGGAATTAAAAACCTACTTAGAAGACAACAATAATCTGGATATATTAAACGATCCCTCACGCATCTATAATGGGGTAAAACGAGCTTTTCAGTGTGTCCAAAGACGCGAACAGTCTTAGCTCCAAAAGGATATAAAAATATTTATGACATTAAGAAGGGTAACGAGAAAGAAACAACAGTTCTTTTGATCTTCTCTGCTAATGGAGAAACTATGGCACCGACAGAGTACAGAGACTGATACACCCGATAATGACACCATAAAAGTATCAGGGGGTTCGAATCAAGATGACAAGCAGGAAATGACCGATGAAAGAAATAAATCCAAATAAAGCTATAAGGGTTTTGCAGAACATAAGCCTAAATATTCCACAGTTAAATGATGTTTCGCCTTCTTTTAGAAAACATTTGTACTTTCCATTATCACCCTCAAACACAGTTACCAGGAACGAAAAAAAGGAACCACTTCCGGCAGCCATTTCATCAGAAGAGTTTCGACGACTGATCCAGAAAAAAAAAAACGACAAGCAGAAGGCCAAAGAAGAGAAAGATTAAAGAAAACAAGAGGCTTAAGCGCTTTGCTGAGAAAAATACAAAAAGTGCCAGAAAAGGAATAAAGAGAAAAAGGACTGAAGATACGGAAAGAACAGAAGAAACAAATGATGTACCTGAATCACAAATAGATAGGCCGCAACAAATATAAAAGGAAAAATGTGCAACATGCGATGAAGACATGGATGCAGACACGGAAGACAATGACTTAAAAAATATTGGTTCCCCAGTGCCCCAGTTGGTTTCACTTAAAATGTACACCAAAAAATATGGCTGAGAACTGGGACATTAAAGGCTGACAATAGATTTTTAGCGGCTGACTAAAGGAAGATTTTCATTTTCCACAAAAAAACTGCAATAACTAAGAAAAATTTGAAATAAACTACATGGCTTTTTTCCTTCACAGAATAATATATCCTTAACAACCGTGCATAAAACTTGCATTATTTTTTAAATATTTGTTATTTATTATCTGTATTCAAAATAGAAAGATCCCTCAAAGTGGCTGACCACTGGCGAAGTTACCCTATGTAACATTGACCCTGTTAATGACAACAGGGTTGCCATATCTAAACTGTCATTACCCACTGGTAGCCGTTTGGACAGGTCGTTGGAATGCCTAATTTCATGTAAAAACTAGTTAGATGTACAAACTATAATTTTATGTAAAAATTTTCTTAATAAATGAATATTACTAGTAAATCATAGTGGAAAAGAATTAACAACCATAAAAAAAATTGAATACATATATATTGCGTACTCTGTTTTAAAATAAAAACCAGGTGAGTCAACTATGCTCATCGTAACAGGTAGAAATTTCCCTTGAATTACGTGCAGGTATGTTTATCTTCTTTTATCTTATTGGAAAAAGTGAGAAAAATTTATTTTTTGCTCTTGGCAATGATTTTTTTTTGTGGATGGAACATTTCTATTAACTTCAATGAATAAAAAAGTTATCAAAAGTATCTAAAAAAGTAAAAAAATCACATGATACAAAACTATTAATCGGCAAATATAATAAAGTGTTATGAACAATGTTAATAAAAAATTTTTTAAACTTATAACCGCTGAAAAACAGCAAAAAATTGATTTAGCGCGTCATCGGGCTTTCTCTTACCCATCTTATACATTGAGTTGGAAGTGAGATAGAAGTACTTCTCTCTAAAAGTACACGCGCGTAGGAAGCATATTGTTATAACGTAAAAAAAAACATATTATAGTTTGAATATTCGGTAAAAAATTTAAAATTATAGCATTTTAAATTTTAAGGTATATTATTTAATTCAAGAAAATTAGAATTTTCGTCAATTTCGGATTTTAAAACATTCATAACAATTAAAGGGTTAAAGATACGATGATGGGCGTAAGGACTTTTTTTATTCGAAATATCCTAAAGAATATAAAAAAAAAATAATTCATTGCAAAAATGCATTTTTTCTGGCTTAATTAATTTTTCATTGTTTAAACAATAACATCAACAGATATGGAGTGTCATCTTACACTTTTATAATCAGGAAAGCCTTCCGGACATTTAAAAAAAAAATACGAATTAAAACAATTTTGCAAACGAATGCGCCAGTATGCTCTCGTCTAAAAGGTGTCAACTACTGGTTCTGTTACCTTAATTTTTTGAATTTATTATTAATTATACAAATATTAATGTTTTTATATACATCAGTATTTATTGCCTTTAAGAATATTTGTGCTTTATTATGTTACATGCTGTATTTTATTTTAATTTCAGATAGTAAAAGCCACGTACTCATACATGACTGTAATATACAAAAGTAAAAATTAAAGTAGGTATGTGGTATATAGGTATGTACCTACTTAGATTGAGTAAATATTTATTATCTCACCTGGCTTAAATAATTTTCTACACAATATATGATGGCAAAGAAAACATTAAATAAATTAAAAAATATAGCTATTTTTATTTATATGTGATATCAAAGAAAAATATAAACAATCTGTTCAGAAATATAAATTTTATTTTGTATAACATTTCAAGACATATCAATGCAACCAAGTCAAAGATCAGGAATCATTAACGTTTTTATTTTTTTAACACTTCTCTCACTAGGTTTGGTACTTAAGTACTTGCCGAAAACTGTAAACCTCATATTACCTAAATGAAATTCGAAGACAGATTCATCTTTAATTAAACCTAAAAAGAATGTTTTTATAGTTAAAAACAGAATTATGAAATCAAAGACTTACATTTTAACTTTGAATCAGGAGTAACGACCTGAAAAGTCATCTTGGTCTCTAGAACTACGGTGCCACGAATTCTTATTAAACTAGGTACTTTTGAACTAACAACAGTTAACTCTGCTCCTATTAGTTCAGATTTAGCAATTACTGTACTAAATGGTAACCAATCTGGGTCTGTGCAAGTAGGAGCTTTATTTACCAAATCTAAATTTTCTTTCATGTAGCCCCTCCACATATGTCTTAAATTTTCTAGCTGTTTATAGTTCCAACCTGTAATATCATTTTTAATTATTGATACCTAATTATTTATTTTTACATTGTAACTTCCTTGTGAAGCTTAATAAACCTTTTAAGTTTTTTAGGTACATTTATCTGAAATGATCAAATGTAAACAAGCAACCACAACATGGAATTCACAGGGTTAAGTATTATAATACCACCAACCTTCTTTTGGCAATTTTAATAAATCCAAACTTTGCCTTTGCTTTCTGGTAAGGAAAGTTTTTTTCTTCTTATATCCTGTTTTTGTCTTCTGTATGGAAAGCTTGTCTAAAAGAAACTTCCATTTCAAATCACCAGTAAGATTTTTTACATCTGAACTCGGTAAAGTTTTAATCAATAAGTTTTTTATAAATTTTTCTGATTCCTCATTACTAGAATGGGGTAATTCTAATATTTCAAATGGCAATTGGCTATTCAGTGTATCTAAAAGAATTATGGATTAAATTAAATTGCTATCTAATAAAATGAAAAATTACCTTTTAAACTATTTGTTTCCATCACACTATTTTTTTAAAAGTAACAATTTAACATTACAGAAAAAGAAAAACACACAAAAAAACACGCTAACAACCATAGATAAACTAATAATTTATTATATTAATTTATCTATGCTAACAACAGAACTTTAATCCGGCACTCGGCAAAGTAGACATGATGAAATTTTCGTTTTTGGTTAAGGTGTCTTCAGTGTCAACAAAACCGTAAAAGGCGTATTAAACTAATAATTTGATTCGTGAGGAATATGCCTTCAACCAATGAAATTGAGAATCACTTAACTTAATCATCAAATAAGGAACATGTATTTTGGGCTTTTGACCTGAACCGACGTTCTGCTCAGTGTTGCCAGGTCCAAAATTTTTATTTCTATAGATCATTTCTCAAAAACATGTACCTGACTATTATTAATATTTTTTCTACAAATCTACAAATACAAGATAAAATAACTACATAGAAAATAAACCTGGGTATTAGAAAAAAATTACTATATTTATTTCAATTGAAAATATATCTAATAAAAAAAAGCATAAAAATGAATGCAGACTACAAACATCGATATTAATTTTTGGCATTAATTGTCATAAATCTGGTTGTTTTTTTAGCCACTAATCTGTATACCCATGAATTTTGAAATCGAAACAGTGACCACAAACAGTGACTTTGTTTTGTCAAATTTTTAGTGTAGAATACCTAGTGAGTTTCTCTTCGTTTATACAGGGTGTCCCAATGAAAAGTAGCCCGTTTCCAGAGCTTATATAAAAGAGGAGATTTTAAAAGAACACCCTGTATAGGTAATACATAATTTCTGTGTCACTGAAGCAAAACTTATAGCAAAATAACACATATCAGCGGAAACGGCACGTTTCTACGATTAGGTGTTTAAAAGTTATAAGCTCTGGAAATGGGCTACTTTTCATTGATGGGCTACTTTTGATTGGGTTTATAGTAAGTAAATTCGACCTGCCTGAGATTCCTGATCGAGCGTCTTTGCCAAGGGTCAATCGTTTTCTAATAATTTCTTGAGTGATGATTGCTTAATATTTTTTTACAAATCTCACAAAAACAAAGAAGTTTAAAAATTCCCTAAATTATAGACAATTTTCCTTTTTTCCTATTGATTATTGATTTTCTCCAGATTTAGAGAAATTTCTTTATTAATGGCAACATTGGTTCTACTTGAATCTTGACTGACAACTGACAGTTTCAACTCATTTTCTGAACATTCACGATTCACGTCAACTCTGTATTTTCAATTTCTTTCTCGAGTCTCTTGGAACGTACAGTGTTTTAGTTTGACCTATTCTCGTCTTTAGCAATTTTTTAAATAATCATGGATGCTAATCAAAAAGGTAAATACTCTTATATTTCAATAATTTATAATAAATAAAAGTTTACCATTGATAAAAAATTTCATTGTTTACTTTTTAAAATGCACCTGTCAAAATTTGCATATTTTCATTTTAAATCCTTTACACCCCTTTTAAGTAGCAGAAAACTAATATGTAAACGTCCAGTTCAAGGTATTTTAGATCAACTAGTCCTAGAGAAATTCAAGAAGGATTTTTATGCCGATCAGAAAAATGTCCTAGCTCAAAATGTTTGCTCCAAAATTGATCCCTTTGAAGCAGCATTAAGAAGAAAAACCTTAGAAGAAACCCAGCATGTGTTCAATCATAAGGTAATAAATAATTAGTCATAGATTTTTTTTTTTAAATGATGAGTATAAAATGGTAACTAAGCTTGTACACTCTTGTGAAAATGAGGACAAATAATTGTGCAAATATCTAATTAATATTCTGAGCACATAGGTATCTATACATTAATTAGATATAAAAAGAAATGTTGCTAAATTTTAAGGTCATGTTTATCAACTGATTGCATGCATATTTATGCAAAACTTTATTTATATGTTCGTAGGTATGAATTTGAGTATCCAATTCTAAGCCCATTGATGGTTTACATATTTTTTTAATAATTTTAGGTGCACATTTTTTACACTATGAGAACCTATTAATTAAATGTGTATTCAACCTATTTGCTTTGTTGGAATATCTATATTTACTTTGTAAATATGGGAATGTTTTTTTCATTGTGGAGAATATCATTCATGATATAAAAGTTCTCGGAATCCTTAGATAATTAAATATCTATATTATCAGTATATGATTGAAATCATATATTTTGTATGAATATTGCTTTATATTAACACACCTTGAAAATATAGTTACAATACCTATTTATTTAACAGATAACACATTATTGCCACACTTATTTCATTGTAAAATTGCAAATTTAGTTTTTCTTATCAAATTTGAGTTCAATAGAAAATATATTTTAAATTACGTGCAAATATCATGCATTAATGAACTAGGATTTAAGTGTATAACTGCTTCACATTAATGCAATACCTAATTACACAATAATAATTGCTTATTTAAATGATCTTATTGTTATTCATTTTAATATTTTATTATGATTGGATTAGATCCTGTTATACACAGTGTAACAAAAACAGTGAACAAATTATTTTTTATGAACTATTTATTTAAAATTGTATCTACTCTTCATAAACAAAGAAATTGATGCTAAGAAATCAGAATGACAAATAGATCGAAACATACAAAAACTGGATATGTTGGTGATTCAATTATTAAAAATGTGAAAGCCCATGATATGATACCAAAAATGCCTTATTTAGAACCATTATTGTTAAACGAGGGGTAAATACATCAGGAATTCTTGTTTATTTATTTATGTAGCACTTACACTTAACACAAACTATTGTAGAGTTAAAAACAATATAAAATAAATTAAAAAATATATATAAAATATTAAAAAAAAGAAGAATAACACAACACCGCGGGACGACACGAGTAAAACTTAGACATTCCGGAGTTGCAAGTTCCTGTTTTATAAAAAAAAATGTTACATAAATTAACAATATTTTTACCATTTGTTTTATACCTCTATTTTTTTTTTCACTGCCACTGTTTTGCAAGGATATTTAGAGCTATTTTTATTTTGAAAGTATTTTTTCTTTGTTTCTGCAAGATATTTAGATATATTTTATTTTTAAAGTATTTTTCTTTGCTTCTATAATAAAAGTCTTGTTAATTTAGTTCTATATTTTATAAATCTTTTTTTTTTTTTTTTTTTTTTTTCATTACAAATTTACAGTGTTTTTGTATTTTAATGTAAAGTTTCCCTTTTTAATTATTAATATTCTTTATGTTTTATTTTTATTGTATGAGTATTGTTCTGAACTAATTTTATTTTAATATCTACCTATATACCTTTTTGAGATTTTTTTAAGGAAAATTCAACTTTAAAAAATGGTTTATGATAAGCAATAATTTTTTATTTTTAAAGAATGTAGCTATATTTTTACTTTTTTCCCATTTTTGCAATGATCTGTGTGTCTGTATCCACAATAACTTAAAAGTGGATAAAGAAAACTTAGAATTTAATCCACATCTTGTAGAGAGCTGACTAGATTTTGAGCATAGTCTGAGCATTGGAGATACTTTATAGTGGTATTTTTTCTACATTAAGGTATATTTCTGTTATTTATGATTATAGAAAACAATTCTTTCAATAAAAGTTGTTTGTGATGTCATTTTCTATAATTTTTTTCGTTATATGGTTTCTCTAAAATAGACTTCTAAATAAATATGAAAAAAGTCAAAAATTTGAATTTTTAAGTATTTTCATTGGCAATGAAAATATCTTTTAATTCATAATCTTAACACTTTTTGATTAGATGGGCCTTATACTCAATATTTTTGATAACTTTACAGGAAAGTCATGTGTTGGGCACATCATATTTTATTTGTTTTATCTCAAAGATTAGGAACTGGTAAGATAGGACAACCTGCACATTTACTTGAAAGTTTTAACTTTTATCTAGTTTGAAGTGTAAATATAATAGGTTTGATGTCAGGCGTTATAGAACCATTTATACAATAAGCCTCTAAAATCAGTACCTACTTATTTTGTATTAAGTTACCAAATCGTCGAAAGTAAAAACCAAACTGACTGTTTATCAGAAAAGTATGTAGGACTGGCAAGATTGTAAATGATTAATAATTTCAATCAAGCAAAATCATGGGCTAGAATCTGCAGGGCTACATTTACATTATATTAATCTTTTCTGAATGTGCTATCTTAGCTTTATTAATCTTTACTTACGTTTTGTTCTAAACCTAGAAGGTTGAGATAAATATATACCTTCAGTTATCTTTGTTTCCTTCTATTATTATTTCATTAAAAATCTGGAATATGAGCTAACTGGATAAATCTATGAAATTAAGTTGTTATCTTAATCACAAGTAGAACAAAAAAGGTAAAATAAGTACCCGAGATAAAATTTGGAATAGTCAACTGAGGCTGAGACGCATTGCAAACTAAACTGCCTCAACCAATAATAAAAGTATATGGGACAAAATTATAAATTATTCAATTTAAAAAATGTGAGCATTAGTATTTGAATGATCTCCTTTTAATATGTGAGTTGAGACTACTGTGGCAGATATATTTTAAAAAACCAGTACATAACACAAGCAATTTTAAAATCACCATAGATTGTAAATGACTAGAAGAATAAACAGTGATTTATTTGTAATTTTTGTAAATGAGAATATAATAAAATACAAATTAATATCTAAATTACATTAAGGAGGTCCTTTCGCCACACCTCTCGCCTCAAATGTTAAAAAAAAGTTATTAGATTATGACTAAAATTAATTTTTTTCTAATGAAGTTCTTATTTATCTAATACTGAACTTTTAACTATACCTTACCTTGCAAATTTTTGAGAATTTTTTTTTTTTTTTTTTTAATGTATTTGTACAGTGCCTCACGAGAAAGTAAGTCCTCAACAACAATTTTTGAATTATACTATTGTTTATTGATTAGATGGAGTAGAAAAAAACTAAAAATAAGGTTTTTGAAATATTTAGATTTTGTTTCATACAATAAAATATATATAGTAAACCGTGGAACTTATTGAGAAATTAATATTAAAAAATCACAAAAAATTTTCAAGTAACCTAGTTGAAAATTTTTTGTGATTTTTTAATAATTTCTCAATAAATTCCACGGTAACCTATATATTTTATTGTAAAAAACAAAACCTAAATATTTCAAAAACCTTATTTTTAGTTTTTTTCTACTCCATCTAATCAATAAATAATAGTAAAATTAATTATAATTCGAAAATTGTTGTTGAAGTCTTACTTTCTCATAAGACACTGTACAAACACACACATTTAAAAAAAAAAAATTCTCAAAAATTTGCACGGTAAGGTATAGTTAAAAGTTCACTATTAGATAAATAAGGACATCTACTATTAGAAAAAAATTAATTTTAGTCATAATCTAATATTTTTTATTTAACATTGGTGGCGAAAGGACCTCCTTAAACAGATATTTTTCAATATTTCGTAAATAGGGCATTTGGTTTAATACAGCTTACATAAGAAGTTTATTATGTGTTAACAACAAGAATTAGAAATTAAAAATTAAAAAAACCGACTTCAAAAACGTGCAAATGCCATCACCACATCTTAACCAAATTTATATGGGACCACCCCTGAGGTACTCCCTTACTAACAAAAAAGAATCATAAATCGGACAAGGTGGTAGAGCATTATCGCTAAACATACATAAAAAAATAAAGAGTTTGAGGATTTTCTCATGGACCCAATTATTAGATTTTGACCAAATTTATATGGGACCACCCCTGAAGTAGCCCCTTTCTAACAAAAAAAGAATTATTGAAATCGGACACCGTCTTAAAGAATTATCGCTGAACATATAGTCTAAGATCCGAAGTAAGGTCGACCTTCACCCATCTGTTTAATGGATGAAAGTTTCTTTTTATTACATAAAATATATTTATAAATATACCGCAAATGGGTTGCCTAAGAAAATATGGTCGAGACTATTTTTTTTCTTAAAGTAAAAAAAAAACGACACCCTGTAAAGTATTCCCCAGATGCTTCAACTATGCCCAAACTTTAGTCAGCTCACCGCAGGATGGATTAAAGCTTAAGTTTAAAATTTGGTGTTTTTCTCTTTATCTGTTTTTGAGTTGTATTCGAAATTTGCGCTTTTCCTCAAATATCTCAAATTAGGTTCATTTTAGGAAAATCATGTATAGAAACAAAATAATAGATAATGACATCATAAACAACTTTTATCATGATTTTTATGCTTTACTTATCTGTACACAAAAAGGAAAGTAAAAAATGGCCGTGACCGTATTTTCTTAGGCAACCCATTTGCGGTATATTTAAAAACATATTTTATTTAATAAAAAATAAGTTTTATCCATTAAACAGATGGGTGAAGGTCGACCCTACTTACGGATCCTGGACTAATACATAAAAAAAAAATATCGCGACGAATTGATAACCTCCTCCTTTTTTGAAGTCGGTTAATAAGAAAATAAGATACTTATCTAAGAGTTAGAAACTATCTTATTTTTTTATTATTGGTGAAGGATGTTTTATTCTTCCATTTTCTTTTCCGGTTATTTTGTACAACCTATTGCAGCACCTCTATAAATGTTTAAAGGATAAACTAAATATATACATTTTCCACATACATCTAACTCGAAACATTTTTCTAAAACGAAAATACTGAAATATTTAAATTTAGCACTCTTCCTCCATTTTT